CTGCTGAAAAGGGACGCTGTGGGTTTCAGGGTGAAGATCTTCTCTCACTACTCTAAAGGGCCCCTTTGGCAGTAGGAAACACATAGACTATTATGGAGAAAAGTTCAAAACCAAAGAGACAATGGTTCAGCAAGATTCTGGCTTTTTCTCCCTCTGTGTCAGGACCTAATCTATGCATAAAATGATACTGTCAATGATCCACTCTCAAGACATCAAGAAGTAAGGAAGTGTTATGGAAGATATAACTCATCTGCTCTTGTTCTTGTCACCATCTGCTTTCCCCCTTTGTTTTTTTCAGCTAAATATTGCAAGAACCTAGAGCAGAGGGAAGTGTACTGTCTCTTTCCACCAATCTATACTTTCTCTGCAATGTGGCATCTACAAGGCGGATGGCTTGATGGCCAGTAATTGAGGAACTTAGCTTAACAAGTCCAACCTAAGCAATACCAATACATCCACCACTCACTTATTTACACAATATACATTTATTAAGCTCCATTTAAGGGGTCCTGGTAGCACAGCACTTTAGCATTACCATGATAATCAAACAGTTAACAGCTTGGAAATACTCAGCTTCTCTGAGGGAGAAACACCTCTGTGAACTGCTTCCATAATAATCACAGGCTAGTAAACCCTATTGTGGTTGTTGTTGTTATGTGCCACCAAGTTGCTTGAGATTTATAGTGACCTTATGTACAATAGCTGTCCACCCTGCTCTATCCCTTGTCAATCTTACTGTCTCTGACACACCTACTCCCATTACCCCAGTCACTGAGTCAATCCATCTCACCAAGGGTCTTCCTCTCCTGCACTGTCCCTCCACCCTCCCAAGCATGACATCCCTCTCCAAGGACTGGTCCGTCCTTGCAACATGTCCAAAGTATGTCAGATGAAGTGTCAGAATCCTTGCCTCCAGGAAGTAGCCTGGCTTCACCCTCTTCAGAATGAACCTGTTTGTTCTCCTAGCAGTCCATGGTATATTCAATACTCTTCTCCAGCGCCACAGCTCAAAGGCATCAATTCTCTTTCTATCATCCAGTTAAACTCCATCATGTGAAGTCACTATGAGTGAAATTTGACTTGCTGGCACCTAATAACAGCAACATAAACTAGTTACTCTGCCAGGTACTAGGGATAATACAGTTTCTATTCTCAAATGGTTCACCTATCTACTCAAGGTCCACAATGTAGAATGTATTACAACAAAAATATTTGAGGAACCCAAAGAAAAAGCCTCTCTCTGCATTGAAATGTCAGAAAAGGTTCCACAGAGGTCATAATGTTTAGACCAAGTCCTACATGATGCATGAGAATTTTCTAAACAGATTGAAAGAAAGTAGAGAAGCCACATTCTAAGTAAATATACAAGCAGTACAAAATGGTATGGTCCACTGGGACTCCTTCGTATAAAAGATGGCTGAAACTGAGGCTAGATGGGGCCAAAGCCTGCTACAGAACTCAGAAAGGCATTCTAAGGCTTCTATGCTGGGAAGTGACATCACCAACCATTTATGCTTTAAAAAGTGCACTCTGGTTGTGATGTGGAGGAGGGAGTGACTGGAGGCAGGGAGATAAGTGTAGGCTACCATGATGAACTTCACACTGACAGATGGAGAGGAGGGGGTGGATCTGAGAGCTGAAAGGGCAGCAGGATGGACAGAGCCTATAGATACAGTGAATGTAAAGTGAGCTGTGAGGGAGGCAGGAATCAAGGATGAGTTTTGGGGTGTGAGGAAAGGACACAGATGGGATTATCTCAGGTGTGGGATTTATGAGCAGGTGGTAATTTGGAGAAGACAATGGGAGGTGGTGTGACGAGTTCAGTGTGGGGCTGGAGATATCTGTGGGACATGAGTGTGTAGATGGATAGCTAATGATAGATAGCTGCTGTCTTGTAGCAACCGTAGGCACAACAGAACATCGCCTGGCTCTGTGTCATCCCTGTGGACACCAGCACACCCCTTGGTGCAGCTATTGTGCCGATTCATCTCACAGAGGGTATCCTTGGCACTCTGGGCCCTCAAGTTCATCAAGCAGCATGTCCTTCTCTAGTCATTTATCTCTCATGATGACATGTTCAAAACACAGAGTCAGACAGCGTTGTCACCCAAGGGTTTTTACTGGCTAATTTTCTGGAGTAGAACATCAGGACTACCTGGTCCATCTCAGTCTGGAAGCTCTGAGGAAACCTATCCACCATGGTGACCATACTACTAACTAAAATACTGATGGCATAGGTCCCAGCCTCACAGCAACACACAAGCCACCACAGTATAGCAAACTGACAGGTGGTGGTATCAGTGTGGAGGAGCCTGGAAAACATCAGGAAAGAGAAAGCCGAGATGGAGAAGGCAATCTGGAATCTTTGTCTACTGTTGTTGTTAGGTGCCACTGAGTCAAGTATGACCCAAAGCGACCTTATGAACAACAGATATGAACCTTGTCCTATCTTGTGCCATCCTCACACATCCTGATACACGTGTAGAGCCCACCATGGCAGTTACTGTGTCAATCCACCTGGTAGAGGGTCTTCCTCTCCTTCATTGTGTCTCCACCTTGCTGAGCAACCTTTCTGAGCATCATGTCCCTCTACAAGGAATAGACCCTCCTAGAAACATGCCTGAAGTATATGAAGTAAAGCCTCATACTCTTTGCCTACCAAGAGCACCTGGCAGCACCCTTTCCAAGACATATTTGTTTGTTCTTTTGGCCGTCCATAGGAGGTTCAGAGCTCTTCTCCATCACTACAGCTCAAAGGCATCAATTCTTCTGTCATCCTTATTCACTGTCCAGCTCTCAGATGCACAACAAGTGATCAAAAAGACCATGGTCTGGATCAGATGCATCTTAGTCCTCAAACTGACATCGTTACTCCTCAATAATTTGGAAAGGTGTCTAAGTGCAGACTTACCCAGTGTAATATGTCTCCTAATTTCCTGGCTGCTGGTACCAAGGGTGTTAATTGTAGATTAAGGTAAGATGAAGTTGTTGATAGTGTCAATCTTTTCTTCCTCTCTCATGATGTTGCCTATTGGTCATTTTGATTGAATGAACAATCAGGTGTAAGCTGGCCATTTTGATTAAATTAACAATCAGGTGTAAGTTGTTCAGTCATTTTTATTTAATTAACAATCAGTTCTGGGCTAGAAGCCTCTTGTTTAAACCAATTAGGGCCTCTGGAATTAAAAGACGATTCAGACCTGCCTGAAAACCTCTTGTTTCAAGAAGCTGAATTCTGGAAGGTAGGCTGTTTTCTGTCTATTGGAAGCAATTAAATCTCTGCAGAGTAAGTACAGAGATGGACCAGGGTTGGATGGAATGACTAGAAAGATGATGGCTTCCCTCACCAGTGCTCTTCGTCAGGAAGCAGACATTAGGGAGAAATGTAAAGAGGAGTTACCAATTCCTAGAGATCAACTATGAGAAGGAGGTCAGCCTTCTTTCCTCTCTGTGGGTCAAAAATGTAAGTCATTCATCCGAGTGGACTATTTAATTCTCTGTTCAGTGGTCTTGTTTCATTAAGACAATTGCATATATGTGATGAAACAAATGTGTATTTGAAATGTTTTATCATATTCTAAATACACACAAGCCCCAAGTTCTATTAATCACAGATAACCACTATTTCTTTAATAAAAAAATATTCTCCTACTTTTCTCCTCCACCTTTAATTCAATATGGTTACAAATAACCCAAACTAATTCATCTGCCATTTCTCTTCACACACCAAAAGGCATCGCAGTTTCTATTTTTACTATCTGGAACCTGTCCACTGTGGTCTTATTTTTCTCTTCCATTAACAAAATGGAAGAGCTTCATAGCTTTGGTTTCAAGTTTGCCAGCTCTTGTATTTTAAGAATTTAGACAACTGTCCTCAACCTTGAGGACTGAAAAGGTGTTGGTTCTTGAACTTCCTCCTGTGATACCTATATTTCTTTGGACAGGTGTCAATATAGTGACTAAGACACTGGATCCTTCAGTTAGGTGTACCTGGACTCGCCACACAGATCAAGTATCAATTCAGTCTCAAAGCCCTAGTTTATGTAGCTGGGATAGTATTCAGTATCTACCTCTCAGGATAAAAGAGAGAATTAAATGAGGTAATGCATTACAGTGTTTGCTGCAGCCACTGGCTTAATCCATCTCATTAATGGTCATAAGGCTTTTCTCGGACCTTTTCTCAGGCTCCTCTCTATCGCATGTCCTAAGTACGTGTGATGAAGTCTCCTCATGGCCTCTCATGGTCTAAGGAGTGTTCTCATTGCACTTCTTACATGACAAAATGTCTTTACTCTTCTGGAAATTCATAGTATATATTCACTCTTCTTAAAACACCGTAATTCAAAGCATCATGACCCCAAAACCTACTCTCCCCTGGAACTCAGAGAGAGAAGGACAAATCCATGAGTTTCAGTATTACCTCTGGGAAGCAGCTCGAGGAGGCACCCTGGGGGGCCTTTCAAGGTGCACTGGGGGGGTTCCGTCTACTTGCAGGGGGCCTGGACTCCGACTTCTTGTAACCTCAGGGACTTCGTTATCCTATAGCAAACCAGATGAGAAAGAAAGGTAAAAATGACATGAAACAACCAGCAGAGGTGGACACCAGGCTCCAGAAAGCCTCGCTATTCTTCTCAGTCTTTGGCTGAAAGTTATCTTATAAGCTGTTTATCGACGCAGTAACATGCAAGCATCTCTCTGTTTCTTCCTGGCCTCACTGAGGAAGACAATCTATCTCAAATCACCACTGCTAACCTGGACATTAAGTCACTGCTACCAAGAGGATGGTCTCTCATCCATCACCATCATCATGACTCTCCCCGAGAAAGTGTTAGAAAAATGCAGACTCTCTTCTGTTGTTACTGTGTGCCGCTGAGTCGGAACCAACTCCAGGCTGACCTTCCAGCGGGTTTTCAGAGACTTCCCAGCCTTCTCCTGCAGAGCAGCCGGTGGATTTGAACTGCATGCCTTTCAGATGGCAGCACAGCTCCTCACCCCCAGAGCTCCCTACCTAGGTAGGGATTCTGAATCAGAATCTACATCTTAACAAAGTCTCCATGTAATTATCACACATACTAAAAGCTTAGAAGCATTATTCTATTTAATCAGAGTGTAGAAAAGAATAACAAAAACCCAACACTGTCACCGAGTTGATTCTAAACTATGGAGTCCCTGCAGTGTTGCAATCTCAAAGGCACACGGTTCGAATCCACCAGGGACTCTGTGGGAGAAGGATGGGCAAACTTCTCTTGTGGGATTAACTGCCTCTGAAAACTCCCTTGAGGGTCAGCTATGGGTTGGTTCCAACTTGATGCTACAATACTACAACAATAACAACCACATGCATTCTGTGCTCTGGAGAATGTTCAATAATTTCTCAGAATTGGACTGTCAAGCCTTTCTTTCAAGGTATTCTGGGTGAACTTCCCACCTTTTATTTAGGAGCCAGGTATGTTAACCATTTCACTACTCCAGGATATCATAGCCATGTAGTGCTGGGAAAAATGCATTTTTAAATAAATGTTCGTTTTTGGGAAAACAGAACTCATATTGGTCCTCAGTCACAGGGTAATACAAGCCGTGCACTAAAGGAATTGCCCACCCCTACTCTTTTCGGGGAGGCTCCCAGGTTGGCAGAATGTCTTCCCTTTCACCCCAGATGCTGCTCACTGAATCAGGGAAGACATCCTGGACTAGGATCTTGGCCCAAGGTACCATCTTCCTCTCTGCTCCAAAGCACTTGGAGAAGCAGTGTGTAATAAGAGAAAAGGCAGGCATGCACAGAGAAGCGGGATGAAGGAAGGCATGGCCTGGGGGACACACAGGCAGCAGTGCCCTCAAAACCCCTGGGCCAGGCCTTGGAGGAGTTTCCTGAGGCCCACCCCACTCCTTCCCACAAGCGTCTTCTGTGGTTTAACTAGTCTGAGTGGATTTCTATTTCTCTATGGATATTTCCTTCAGAGGAGGCGTCTATCTCTTGCACTGAAATGGCCCCTGACTAATATGAGATAGAGGGGAGCGGAGTCCCCCAGTTCTCACCTCATTGTCACCCTCCATTCCGCTGCTCACGCTGAGGAGACTCCGAGTGCTGGAGCGGTTACTGGCGCTGCCTGATGGGGAGGAACAAGATCAGCCACTCAAGACGGCATTCCCTCGGGGAAAAGAAAACTGCAGAACCCTTACAATTGTCTTTACTTGGGGGGGGGATTACATAAGCCTTGAATATGGAAATTTAAAAAATAGTGCTCAGTTTTTCTTTCTGATATCTTTTAAATTATAGTTTATGCAAAATAGTGATCTTTTATTAAGGGTTTACCACACAGTTTTCAAAACATAACACTGAATTCCTATGACAATTTTATTTTATGTTAATGCTTGTTTTGAAAGACATGAAAGCAAAATTCTTTAGTCCTCAGTTGTTCTATGAGTATTTTTTTAAAATCTGCAAAGAAACTTTGTTTTGTCACTTATTTAGGAGTTACAGTGAACATGTGCACACTGCACATACACAAATACACACTTTCTAAGGAAGGGACAGGCAGGTTGACGCAAAACAAAATACAAAGTGTACATTCAAAAGTACAACTTATGTACATGGTAGAAATTATGACAGCACGTGTTTAGGTTCTTAAAGGCTTTTGATACCCTCGGCACAGCCTACTGAACAACTTCCTAGAAATGTTCTGTTGTTCACTATCTAATACAGTAGAATTGGTGGCTTAGTGGTAGGAAGCTGTACTGCCAACCCAAAGGCATGTGGTTCGAATTCACCAATTGCTCTGGGGGACAAAGATGAACAACTCCCTCCTTGTGATTACATTGTGTGAATATACCACAGCTTCTCTATCCATTTGTTTGCTGATGGGCACTTGGGTTGTTTCCAACTCCTTGCTATTGTGAACAAAGCTGCAATAAACATGGGTGTGCATATATCTGCTTGGGGAGCAGTTAATGGTCTCTTTGGGGGATATTCCCAGTAGTGGAACTGCTGGGTCAAATGGTATCTCTATTTGCAACTTTTTGAGAAAGGGCTATGCTGCCTTCCACAATGGTTACACCATTATACTTCCACAAACAGTGAATAATGGTTCCAGTTTCTCCACCATTTGTTGTTTGCTGTTCAGTTAAATTTTGCTATTCTTACTGGGGTGAGATGATATCTCATAGCTAGGGATTTTGAACATTTCTTCATGTGCTTGTTGGCCACCTGAATGTCTTCTTTGGTGAAGTGTCTGTTCATATCCTGTGCCCATTTTTCAATTGGATTATTTTTTTTTCAATTGGATTATTTACCTTTATCTTGTTGTGGTGCGATGTAAGTAAGATTTAGAATTCCTCCTAGGTGAGATAAACTTGATCTTCGACTCCACTCTCGCTCTTTTGTCCCTTTCTTTTTGATAATGACAACCAAATGTATGAAAGAAAGGAAGCTCCATCCATTATAATTGTCAAACTAGAGCACCGAAAGTTAGCTAATACCACTGTAGAGGGGGAACAGAGCCACCTGGCTCCAGTCTGCACATCGGCCTCAACTGGTTGTTGCAATCAAATGCCTATTCAAGCTTTCCAGCCAAAGGAGGACTATTTCCTAATTAGATTCTTAATGGGTCAGTGAAGGGAGGATTCTCAAAAGTTACTCCATTGTTTTCTGAATTTGTTCTACTCAGGGCTTCAGACCAGCTCATTCAGGTTCCACACCCTGCTGAGAACTGGCATTTCCACCCCAGAAACACAGGTACACCACTTTTCATTGTGCTTTGTTTTACTGTCTCTCAATTTTTCATAAATTGACAGCTGTGGAAACCCTGCAACAAGTCCACTGGTGCCATTTCCACCCCCAAGAGCACACGCTTACTTTATATTTCTATGTTACTTTTTAAAACTTTTTAAATTTTATACTGGTTTATTTACAAAGTTCATATACATTGTTTTTCACACCTGATCTTTCCCATTGCCTTCACATCCCCCGGCCCCACTCCCTCCACCCTCTATGTCACATTTTAGTAATTCACACAATATTTCAAACTTTTTGATGATGCTGTTGTTGTTTAGATGCTGTTGAGTCAGAACTGACTCATGTCTGACCCTCCAACCCATAGCTGACCCTCCAGTGGGTTTTCAGCGGCAGTTAATCGCACAGGAGGAGACTGCTGATCCTTCTAGTGGCAGAGCTCCCTACTTAAAATACTCACTGGAAAAGTTCTTCCCTGCAATATTCACTTTATTTCAGTGCGCTGGAACTTAACTTTAAATAGCTCCAACGTATGCCTATACTAGATCAGAATCTATAGTGTGACAAGATTTGCAGATGCCTTTTATGTAAATCTATCAGAGGCCAAAGAATCACCTGAGAATCTTACTTACTGCAATTCAGTGTAGGTAGAAAGAAAAGGCAAATTCTCAGCAGGCATTTCTGACCCAGAATGGACTGGTTTGAAGCTCTGGTTCCACCACAGTCAGGGAGGAACTGTGAATAGTGCTTAAGAGTCGTGGCTTTGAATGCAGGCTGCCCGAGTTCAAATCCTTTCTCTTCAGTAACTAGCCATGAATCTAAGGCAAAGTACTAATACTGGGTCTCTCTGCAGAAGCAAGCAGCACATATTTCATAGATTTATTGTGATAAGAAATCTGTGGAAGAAGCTTCCACAAAATTAACCTGAGGAGATCTGCTGGCATAATGCATAACAGTGTTGTTGTTGTTGTTGTGTACGATCGAATCAGCACAGACCCAGAGCTGTCTCACCCGCAGGTCTTCAGAGGCAGTAATCACACAGGAGGAGAATGCCCATCCTTCTCCCATGGAGCCACTGACAGATCTGAACCACACACCTTTGGATTGCAGTGCAGCCTCCTACCACTAGGCCACCAGAGTTCCCTCAATGCATAACATGTTGGGCTGTGAACCCAAAGGCTCATGGTTCCAATCCACCCCACAAAAGGCAGAGAGGCAGTCTCTTCTTGTAAAGATTTACAGTCCAGAACATCCAACGGACGGGCTTCAGGAGTCAGAACTGACTCGACAGCAGTGGAGTTTTTAAAATTGGTTTGGTTTGGGTTTTGGATTATCCAAGAGTTTCAGTATATAAACTAAAAATTCATTACCATCAAACCAGAACTGACACATAGCTGACCCTCCAGCAGGTTCCCAGAGGCATGGGAGGGGATTGCCCATCTTTCTCCTGCTACCAAATAATAACTGCTTAATAATTAGGGAGATCTGGTCGCCTAAGAAGCTGCACTACAATCTCAAAGGCAAGAGGCTCAAGTCCACCAGGTGCTCCGCAGGAGGAAGGATAGGGAATCTCCTTCCATATGATCTACTGCCTCTGAAAACCTGCTGGAGGGTCAGCTATGGACCGGTTCTGACTTGTCGGCATGCAACAGCAGCAATAAATTACTATTATTAAAGTTTTCTATTTATAAGAGACATGACAAATAACTGCAATCTGTTTGTAATCTGCCAGCAATCTGTTTTTGGAGATACTGTATAAAGGAACTTTGGGTCCACAGATAAGAGAGATTTCCTAGGTGGAATATTTCTATTTCTTATGCCTCACACTCATATCAGGTTCCAACTGAGACCTTTTGGCCATAACAGAACACCCTAGACCAAAGACCGGAATGACAGGACCAAAGACAGTAGCTGGCACCCAGCTGTCAGGCTCCTGGGGCCAGCCGGGCTTACTTGCTGTGCTGGAGGTACTCTCTGTTTTCCAGTCTCCTCGCCTGAGCTCCGTCCTGGGCGGGAAGACGCTCTTCCTGGGACCACTCTCATATACTCCGTACTCCACTTTCCCAGGCAGGTTCTGTGAATGCCGAATTGGGACTGTGATCTCCAAGTCTGGAATGAGAGAACAGAGGGTTGAACTTCAAGACGCCAGGCCACCATTGGCCAAAATTTCCAGCTGTTTCTGTTCCACTTGCCTCCTTCGCCTGAACCTGGAGGCCCCTGGGATAAGAGGGCCGGGAATGAAGGAATGAGAGAAAAGATGTAAAGTAGGGAGGGGAGGCTGGAGGAGAAGGAAGACGATGCAGAAGACATGTCTTACTCAGATCACGTGAAACTCTGGAGTCCTGGGTGACAGAAGACAGGGGTGGAGAAAGAACAGAAAATAATGCAAAGAACATGCAACTAGAGAAAAGGATTAGGCTCCAGGTATGTCACGCAAAACAACTCTGACAGTGTCTCTGAATCACTGCCCTTATTTGGTCCAAATAATTATAGGCTGAGTACCGGTGGTGCAGTGGTTAAGTATTTGACTGCTAACTGAAAGGTCAGGTGTTTGAAAAGACTGGCCGCCCCACGGGAAATCAGATGGCAGTTTGCTTCTGTAAAGATTCTCAGCCTTGAAAACCCTACGAGAGAGTTCTCTGTCCTATAGGGTCACCAGGAGTGAGACATGACTCGATGGCAGTGGATCTGACTGGAGCCATGCCCATAAGGCATAGCTCTGAGTGCTTCCACATTTTCAGCTCATTTAGTCACCAAGCACATACTTCTCATCATTCCTTTTAGAAACCTGGGGGCAGAGAAGCGAAATGACAAGACCCTGTCACAGAGTTGGCAAGTCGAGAAGCTGGGATTTGAACCCAAGTTCCAGAACCCAGACCCTTAACTCTTCCAAATGTCCTCTTGGATCCCCTACTAAATAACAGGAGAGAGCACCTCACAATGGACAGCAATGATCAGAGAGCAACAGAGGTCACTGAAGGGTGTCTAGCAGGCACGTAATCAACAGAGGGATGTGCAAGGCTGGCTGGTGGGTTCAGACCCCACATACAGGAGGACAGGGTATACTTTGCTCTGCAAAGCACTAAACAGACTTTCTCACTTGATTAGCCCCACCCAGTGGTTTATCTTTATTCCTCTCTAGACTCTGCCCTGGATTCTTCGTGAGCATAAAAATCGGCTACAAGCAGAATATATGAAAATGAGGTGAGCTCCATTCATCGTCTCTGCTTCCTAAAGAAAACGTCCCTCAAGTCAGTGGAAGGGCCTCAGGAGGAGGTGTAAGCGCCTCCTGCTTTCAGGGACCTGTGTTCTTATTATCACAGTATCACTTCCTCGTCCACGTGGACTCTTCTATGACAAGGGTGCGGCAGGAAGTTCAGGGAGTCCAGGGGCCAGAGATGGTGCCAAAACCATGAATCCACAGAGGTTTGGTAAATACAGACACTACAATGGTGTGACCAGGTAAGCACAGGACAAGTTAGTCACATGGTAGAAGTTCTGCACTGAGGAGATGAAAAAGGTGGACTGCTGGTGTGTGTGGTGTGTGTGTGTGTGTGTGTGTGTGTGTGTGTGTGTACATAAGCTCTCTTCCTTCTTCTTGTTATTGTTAAGTGTCATCTAGTCATAGGTGACTCATAGCGACCCTATGAACAAAAGTCCCGGACACCTGTATAACTTTTGTCCTTTCTCCAGGTTCAAAGGGTTTCCAGAGGCAAGCTATTATGGAAATGGATGCCACTCCTGCTTTCAAGCTTGCAGAGCTCCACCAAACACTGTCTACCATAGGTAACCATTATCGCATTTGACATCAGTGTCACAGTGTTCAGCTTCACAGCAACTATGAGTTACGTCTGTACAGCAAGTGGACAGGCCAGGGTTACGCGACCTAGAAGAACGCCTAGAGCAGGCTCCCCACCCTTATTTACCCTTACTCTAAGGGTCAAGAAAACAAAAAGATTCATCCTGGAGAGGGTTAAACCAGGCTACTCCTTGGAGGCAAGGATTCTGGGGCTTCATCTGACATACTTTGGACATGCACGGAGGGACAGGTCCTTGGAGAGGGACATCATGCTTGGGAGGGTGGAGGGACAGCGCAGGAGGGGAAGACCCTCTATGAGATGGATTGATTCAGTGACTGGGGTAATCAGGATGGGTGTGTCAGAGGCAGTATGATTGGCACAGGATAGAGCAAGGTTTAGGGCTGTTGTACACAGGGTCACTATGCGTTGCAAGCGACTCGATGGCACATAACAACAACAAGGGTCAGGGCTGTCCACCCACCTTTGAAGGCCAAAAAGAACAGTAACACACAACGAAAAAGATCCCAGAAACTTCTGTTGCCTGAAGCCACCATGGAGACACCAGCCATCCCACCAGATTAGCTGGCTGACTTCCAGAGTGGAGGGAAACTCCAGTTCCCAAGCCTCTTCCTTCTAGGTAAAGTGGATGGTCCAAGCAGAAAACAATTTTTCATGCACTTGGGCTCCCTTGGTCACAACTGTGCACTGGAAACTCCCACTCATGCATGGAGCAACAGGAGCAGAGGAAAAGATCTGGAGTATTCTCACTTGGGTGTGATTCTGACCTAGCTTCACTCAGGGGGCTCAGGTCTGTCTAAGGTAACTTCATTAAAGTCACCTTCTGCCCTCCGAGGAAGCAAAGTAAAATATATGGGTAGTCCTCTGGCTATGAACAAGATCAGTGCTTAAGTGCAGCTTTAAGCATCTGTAGGTAAGTTTGAAAAAGATGAAAATGATTCTTGCTTAGCCTTATTTTAGTGCAAGAGAAGCAGTTCTGGTGGTGCCTGCGTTGAGTCATTTGACTCCAAATAAGAAAGTTGGTGGGACCTCCAGTTGTCCTGTGGGAGAGAGATGAGGCAGTCTGTTTCTGTGAAGATTTACAGCCTTTGAAATTCTATGGAGTAAGTTGTCTCTGACCTGCAGGGTTTTTCTAAATTGGAATCAACTCAATGGTAGTGGATTTGATGTGAGGAGCCCTGGTGTTGTTGCAGTGGATAAAGCTCTTCACTGCAAATGGAAAGGTGAGCAGTTCAAATCCATCAGTCACTCTGTAGAAGAAAGACGTCACCTTCCATAAGATTTACGGCCTTATAAACTGTGACACAATTCGCCTCTGGCCTATGGGGCAGTATAAGCAATGGGCTTTATTGAAAGAAAAGGCTTGAAGTCTTTTCAATTATTTAAAAGCTTCTAAGGAACTTATATCTAGAATTTATAGAATACTTGAGCACCACAAGATAAAGGTAAACAACCCAATCAAAAAATGGGCACAGGAAAAAACAATTATGAGATATCATCTCACCCCAGTAAGAACAGCAAAATTTAACAGAACAGCAAGCAACAAATGCTGACGAGGTTGTGGAAAAACTGGACTCCTTCTTCACTGTTGGTGGGAGTGTAAAATGATGCAACCACTGTGAAAGGTGGTGTGGCGCTTTCTCAAAAAGTTGCAAATAGAGATACCATTAGATCCAGCAATTCCACTACTGGGAATATACCCCAAAGAGACCATAACTGCCACCCAGGCAGATATATGCACACCCATGTTTATCATGGCTCTGTTCACAATAGCAAAAAGATGGAGACAACCCAAGTGCCCAACAACAAAAGAATGGATAGAGAAGCTGTGATATATTGACACAATGAAATACTATGAAGCACTGAAAAACAAAGAACTCATGAAATATTATATCAAATGAGTGACCCTGGAAGACATTATGCTGAGTAAAATATCTCAGTCACAAAGGGACAAATACTGCATAATGACACTGTTCTAAAACAGGACTGACATGGGGTTTAGAGAAAAACTAAGACAAAAGAGACAAATAATATATACTGCATTGAAACAGATGAGTAGAAATGCTTAAAAGGAATATATGATTAGGTATTATTTGCATGACAACAGTCCAAAATAAGAGCTGCATAGTAAAGTTAACTCGGGGGGGTAGGGTGGGGGTTGTATAACAATGAAAGAATTTTTTTTTAAAGAGAAAAGCAAACTGGCGGGGGGTGGATAGGAAGGAAAATGTGGAACAATGAATGAATGGAAATCCAAGTTCTCCACAAACGTTCATTAAAATCTCAAATAAAAAAGATTGAACTATCAATGACTTCTTCTTACTTGGATCTACAATCCATAGTTGGTACCACCAGTAAAGTAAAAGCAGGAGACATGTTGCACTGGAAAAATCTGCAGTAAGGGACCTCTGCAAATTACTGAGAAGCAATGATGTCAGTTTGAGGACTAAAGTATTTTCAATCATGTTTCTATTCTATACTACCAAGAGCTGGATAATGAATAAGGACAACAAAAGGATTGATGACTTTGAGTTGTGGTGTTGGAGAAAAGCCTTGGATATCTCATGGACTGTCCAAAGAAAAAACTGGTATGTATTTGGAGAAGGTACTGCCAGAGCACTCGTTGGAGGCAAAGATGATAAAACTTAATTTCACATACTTATGCGTATGGCTAGGAGAGGCTATTCCTTGAAAAAGGACATCATGCTTGGAAAGGTGGAGGGTCAGTTAAAGAGAGAAACACCCACAATCAGATGGATTCTTACAGTGATTGTAGCAATTGGACTCAAGACCATTGGACACTTAGTCCAATGGCCTAAGAGATTGTGAGGATGGCACAGGATAGAACAGAAGACCTGCTGTTCATAATGTCCCTCTAAGTAATATTTAACTCAATGGCACCTAACAACAATAACATGTTATATAAAGAAATATTTGCTTTCAAACAAAAGCACTCTAAAATCTGTATATTTCAATTAGCTAGTTTAAGTCTCTATTCCTTTAATTGTTTATAGACAAATAAAAGGAAAACTCACTCTTTTGCTTGAAAAAAAACTCAATTAAAAAAAAAAGCTGCACAGGTAGCAAGCAAAGATGATTGTGGTGAGTTTGGGTCAATCATTTCAAGGTAAAGATGAATGGACATAGCCTCAAAAAACAAGGATGTGTTATACAGTTGTCAGTAAACCAGATGCCCTAACCTAGGGACTCTTTGCCTGGGGGGGGGGGAACGAGGGTCAAAAGTTTTAAAATTCAAGTAGAGCCAGTCTGTCTAAAAAATCCTGATATTTCTTAAATAAAGATCCAATGACAGGAATAATAATTCACATTATTATACTGGATAATACTTTCATTATTGTTATATCTTGCTCAGGCTTCACTACTTCTCCATTAAGCAGGTAGATCAGGTATGACCACAAATGATGAAACTGAGGCATAGAGTCACCCAGATCAAACAGTGATTAAGTGAAGAACAGAGATCAGAACTCCAGGTATTCTGGGCCCAGTCTTCTCCTCTCTGTCCTGCCTAGAACTGCTCAAAGACACACCCCAAACACAAATACTGTCTTCTTTCCGGGGCCAGGACACTCATGATATAGGATTATCTCCAGGTCTGACTGACACCAGTTTTCCTCTGAGTTCCTATGCCATCTAAGCTCAGCGTCATTCCAAAAACCTAGCATGGAAGAAAACGTGCCAAATTATAAACAGATTCTTAGTTTTTCATTATCGTGGATTGCTAACCCAAATTAAAGCATTTTTTTTTCTTTCCTAAGGCAAATGAGTTTTCCAAATTAACTGTTGGTCTTTGTTGTTAGAACAGATGATACTCATAGCAGTAACTGCAGTTGGCTGGCTGTCCACTTCCGTCTCACTTCCCCAGCCCCTTCAAGGTTCCTGGGAACCACCTTCCACACCATCCTTTGGGAAGTGAGGGGAAAGGAAGTGCCAACTAAACCATGTTTCTTTGAGAAAAAAAAAATTAGACATTGACCATTCTAATCTGGACTTCAGCCAGTGGTAGCTACAAATCACTTAATGAGAGCTTGGTTAACCTGGGATGGACCCTTTTGTTTGAAAACCTACGACTCTAAGGCCAACCTTCGCAGGTGAGTCCTCACCCCATGCACTCACTCAGAGATGCCCTGCCTGAGAAGGCACCAGCTGGTCTGTGCAACTGTGTGTGACCATGAGAACGGGCGTTTTTTTACAGTGTTACTATGTGTCAGGCACTATGCTAGGCACCCTAGCTCATTCCATCTTCACAGAAACTCTAATGGAGTTGGCATGCTTATCTTGGCCATTTTATAGAAGAGGAGTGAGGCTCAAAGAGGAGATGTATGTTTCCCATGGTTCCCAGATAGTTGGGTATTAACAGTAAACAAGAGTTGAATCCCAGCGTACTAGCTGCAGGGTCTGTGTCCATCCCCCTCTAATTCACTGCAGGCAGGTCTGTCTCACTTCATTAGGGTCAAGATCCTCAGAGGAAGGCCAACAATTGTGTGGGTGGAGAATGTGGTCAACCCAGCTCTTGAGTCCAGAGTGCTGGGCACTCATACTTTCAATACTATGATTCCCTGGCCTTCAAACACAGGGTGCACTGCCAAATCACAGGTCTCCTGATGCCACCTGTATTTAAAAGCTTGAACTCTTCCATTTAATCAAGGTTTCTATCTTTGGATTAATGTGCTCTGGGTTTAAAAAGTGCTTCAGTCATTTTAACACCTAGAGCCCTGTCGTGTGACACTAGGACAAATGTGCAGCCTGTAAGCCAGATTTTCCACCTTTTCTCCTTCCACCTCCTCTCAGCTGGGATGGTAGACAAATGCAGGCTGCAGCAGCATGAATGTTAAATCCAGACACCCAAGCAGACGTCTTAGGACAGCCTATAAGATTAATATTCACCTGCTGTTAGCTGTTGTAGAGTTGTCCTCCAACTCATAGTGACGTGACCTCATGCACAATAGAACAACACGCTACCTGGTCTTACACCAACCCCCTGATCAGCTGTAGATCAGACCACTGTAAAATTTACTAAGCTATCACTGTATGCAAAACTGTGTGCTAGGCATTGTGGGGCATTGTTGCTGCTGTTGTTGTGTACTGTCCAGTTGGAACTGACCCACAGCTGACCCTACAGAGGGTTTTCAGAGACAGTAAACTGTAGGGAAGGAGACTGACTACTCATCTTTCTCCCACAGAGCAGTTGGTGGATTTGAACCATGCGCCTTCAGGTTAGCAGTATAGCTCCTTACCACTAGGCCACCAGAGCACCAACCTCCTGATCAGTTATAGATCACTTCACTGTAAAATTAGCTAAGCTATCTCTATATGCAAAATGCTATGCTAGGCATTGTGGGACACAGGAACTGAAATAAGACATAGTTTACTGTAAAGACAATCAGACTCAGACAAATAAAAAGGCAACTAACTCTTAAGGTGTTATTAGGAAAAGATTATGTCATACAGGTCTCTGCATTTGGCAAGGTGCTAGGGACAGAATACATATGTGTAGAATGAGTGGTAACACTTAACATTTTACTGAAATCACCCATTCCCCAAGGATCTCCTGAATTCTATCAAAATACTGTGCTTTAAATCAGGGCTTCTTCTTTTTATTATTATTAAATTTTATTAGTTTTAATGAACATTTACAGAGATTTTGGGTTTTCAATCATTCATTGTTGCACTAATCAGGGCTTCTTCTTGTTGTTGTTATGTGCTGTTGAGTCACCTGAGACTCTTAGTACACAAAGTGGCTCATGGTTTCAAACCACCAATCTTTCAGACTGCAGACAATGCCATAATGTGCCAAAATCAATACCATCCTGTGGCACCACTTTATGCCATTACGATAAGGCTGGCAAAGATGGAGAGAAATCAGAATCTTCATTCAGATGCCCAGAATTCATCCTATTGTCCTTCAGAACTCAAGCACTGACTTTCTGTCAGAACCAGCACTCAGTTTATTGCCCTCTATCTTTGCAGCTCTGTGAAATGAATACATATGAAGTACCAACACTGTGAGGGTTAATTTTGTCCCAATTTGGATAGGCTACAGTGCCTTGTTATTTTTTTTCAAACACTAGTCTAGATGTTGTTATGATTTCTATATTTATTTGTGCTCACCATTTTACTTAAACTGACCATAACTAAGCTCTGTCTGACATACTTTGGGCATGCTGCAAGGAGGGACCAGTCCTTGGAGAGTGACATCATTCCTGGAAGGGTGGAGGGACAACACAAGAGAGGCAGACCCTGGGAGAGATGATTGACTCAGGGACTGGGGTACTGTGCGTATGTGTGTCAGACAATGAAATTCGCTCAGGATAGAGCAGGGCTCAGGGCTGTTGTTATGAGTCGAAGTCAACTCAACAGCACATAACAACGACAACAAAGGAGATTATGCTCTATAATGTCAGGAGGCCTCATCCAATCAGTTGAAGGCCTTCAGAACAATAATGGAGTGGGGTGGGGGGGAGGCAGAAGGGAAGGTTTCCCAAGCAACAAAGTCTTTCTTCAGTAAACAGACATTTTGCCAAATTCTTCTCCACTTGACTTACCAATTTTGGGCCACAAACCTCACTGCCATCAAGTTGGTTCTGACTCAGTGCGAACCTCCAGTGGGTTTCTGAGGCTGTAAATCACTCCGTTTTTCTCCAGTGCAGCCACTGGTGGATTCAAACCACTGGAGATTCCAGGCTGCTGGGTTAACGGTACAACTTGCTACAGGTTGCAACACCGGAGCCTTCCTTGGGGACACAAGACTGATGGAATCTCTTACCTATTAACTGACCTACAGATCTGGACTTTTCTGCTCCCACAATTGTATAAACAACTGAAAAAAAATCAATCTCTCTCTTTCTCTCTGTACACGTGTGCGCATCTTACTGCATCTATGATTAAAAGAAATACAATGACCGGGAGTGGTCCGAGAAGGCTTAACAGCGAAGCTGGCTGCTATTGGCTGGTCCTGACAGCCCAGTAGTTGTCATGCAGGTAGGAAGAAATGGGCATGGACAAAGGCCTTATAGTAGGAAAATGTCCTATTTGGGGACTAGAGTGTTGCCATGTTACCAGGCTGACCAGGTTCATGGAAAGTCCGAAAATGAATTTCAGCTAAATGCCATAAAAGTTAGACACGAGTAGGGCTGTGTATCAGCTTGGTTCTTTATGTAATAGGGAAAGTTCTTCTAGGCAGTTCCTCCTGCTACACGCACAGTGGAGTAAAGCAGAAGATGCAATGCGGGCACACGCTATCGCCTCAGAGGTGGTGATGGCACATAGGTGGCACCTGCAAGGGTGGACCAAGGGGACAGAGGGGCCCAGGCCACAGTGACCAACAGAGCTCATGCCCTTGCTAGTGCATAGTAAACTCACGCCCTGGTACACTGGGCCCTGGATTTCTGATGCAGTGTGAGGTGTAGACACCTCTGATGTGATTTGCCACTTGAATTAGATCCACTATGTAAATAAAATTTTCTTCTTTATCTGCTCAAAAAAATTTAAGCCCTCAAAAATGTCAAGGGGAGAGTCCAGTGCCTGGATCATAAAAGCACTAAGATCCTCTGAGTGAGAGGCTGGAGGACAGAAGAGTTAAATCCAGTCATTCATTTACTGGGCTCATCTCAGGTGCCAAACATGTAATATTTAGAATAAGCAAGGCAAAAATAAATCTCTCTTTACGAGTCTAGAGACTAGAGGGGGACAGAGACCGCAAAGAAGGAGTTAAGGAATAGGCAAGTGGGCCTTCCACCCAGACAGGACGGTCAAGAGTACAGCAAAATCCCACATAAGGAAGCTCCTTCCCTAGCCTGCTCCCACTTCTCCCAACTGGGACTCATACCTGTCTGTTTTCCGCATTTTTGCTTCTCTCTCTGTCTCCTGGTGATGCTCTCTCTTAGTCGTTTAAGATTTTCCTGGGGGGGGGGGGTAAAAAGCAGCTCATTTAAGAAGTATACACCAGAATGATACTCTGAGGGCACTCAAGTTTTCTTTCTGACTTGATGCTATTTGTAAGGGGTATCACATTGCAATTACATTTTCAGCATGCACAGGAGGCTGTGCATTTTCAGTTCTCTCTCACAGAAATGCAAGTACAGGAAATCCCTCACATTTTGAAGCTCCCTTTAAGCAGATTTGCTTTTATGAAAGATCTGTATTAGTACCCCTTTTCACTAAGTGTAAGACACTGGAAGAGAATTTAAATTTCAAGGAAAAAACCAAAATTAGCTTTCAGTGGTTTTTTTTTTTTTGCTTACATGTTCCAAGGAGCAAAAGAGATGAAATTGATGTAACACGTTCACACAGTACTCAACTCATCGTTGTCAAAGTTTAATATATACTGCTTTAAGGGAGCTCTGGTGGCCTAGTGGCAAGACGCTGTACTGCAATTCCAGAGGTATGCAGTTCAAATCCACCAGATGCTCTGCTGGAGAAGGAGGGGGCAATCTCCTCCTGTACCAGTCAGATCTGATTTGACGGTACATGTAAAAATAATACAATAAAAAGTAAATATACATACATATATATGTAGCTTTATCCTACTCTCATTGCCTAATCCACTCCAAGAAGACCAGGCACTCATCCTAGCCCTCCTACCCTCAATGGCTGCATGGTCAGGTCAGGTTAGGAGAGCAGAGGTTAGAATAGATGTTGAGGAGGTACTACTGGGGAGGCAGTGGGAAAAGCCAAGAGTCCCTAACTCAATCTGCCACTTGATAGTTCAATGACTTCACTCTCTGGGCTCCAGTCCTTCTGTTTTTATGTGAAGGAGTTGGAGAAGGAATACGCTTTCTAAGACTTTACTGTTGAGGGGTTTTTTTGTTGTTTCAAATTACACACAGAACACAGAGTGCATTCTCATAAAAAAAAAACAAACCCAAACCCACTTTACATATACAGTTGGAACAAGTGGCTTCTCTGATACCTGAAACCCAGATTCTCCCTAGAAGTGACCACAGGGATGGGTGTGGGTGGTCCTTTCCAGACCTCTGCCTCTGCATTTGCATATAATTGCATATTTCTATATGTAGAAATAGAGTTTGTGTGCTAGTCCTTTTAATTTAGGGGGTCTTATATGTGCAGCTTGGCGTTTTACATTCTGAGTTTTGCTTGCATCTCAATGTGTGACAGGAGACTTGCCCTGGCAGTAAGGAGAGAGGGAGTCTGAAAAGGAAAAAGCTATAAAGCGTAAGTCTAGGGGCAGGCACTTAGACAAGGCTGGGAAAGAAGAGAATACAGTCAAATCTTTGTTCCTGATCTAGCTTCAGAGCAACTGGGAAAACGATGCAGCTATTAGCTAGGGAGCCCTGTGGTTAGAGACTACAGGACACACACGCTGACTCACAATGGCGCACACACATTCATGGGCAGAGCCACAGGTGTTCAGTTTCCACAATAAACAAGACAGTGTTGAGCCCAGCCCTCAAGGGGCTGACAGTTCAGTGGAGAAATAGATGCAAAACAAATTCTACATGGAGCTAGTTACCTGCTGGAAACGAAAGGATTCGGAGCGCTTCTTCTGGTTGAGCTGCCACTCTTTGAAGTGGAGCACGGCCTCGTCCACGTTGACAATGCCCAGCTTTACCTGCTCCTGAAGGGTAATAAGCTGTCGCTGGCCTGGTGTTTTCATCCCAGCAAAAGGGTCGTATACACTTGACTGAGGCCTGTCCCTCCACGGTCTGACGGCAGGCTCTGGGAAAAAAATGACAATACTCAGTTTGATAGTACCGCTCCCCACCCTTCCCGGCAGAGCAGGTGGGGAAGAGGGTTAACAAGGTTGGTCACAGGTCAAGGGAACATGTCTCAAAAGAACAACTATAAAAGAAATCAGAAAGGAATACATGTCACAGAATCAGGGGAGAGGGGAGCAGCTACTACAACACAGCCAATCACACTGAAAGGAGTCCAAGGGGTACAGTGGTTACACACTTGGCTGCTAAACAAAAGGTTGGTGGTTCGAACCCACCAACTGCTCCTCACTCAAAATATGTGGCATCTGCTCCTCTAGATAGTACAGTCTAGAAAACCCCATGAGGAATGTCACCCTGTTCTAAAGAGCTGCTGGAAGTCCAAGCCACCTTGATGATAATGAGGGAATCAAATATTTCAAAAAACCAACAAAACCCCAAAACTCTGGAGGTACAAATGGTTACGCACTCAGCTCTTAACCAAAAGGTTGGCAGTCCCACCCACAGTGTCCATGGAAGAAAGGCCTGGCAAATGATTAGATTTCATAAAAACTACTGTTGGTAGGTGCTGTTGAGTCAACTGAATCATAGCCACTCGACCTGACAGAACAGAACTTCTCCATCAGGTTTTCTTAAGCTGTGACCTTTACAGGAGCACATCATCAGACCCTTTCTCCGGTAGAGAGGCCAAGTGGGTTCAAAACCACAAGTTTTCCATCAGCACTAGAGTACATAACTGCATCCCAAAGGCTTTCTCCTAAAGGCTCCAGTCAAGAAAACGCTACAGGTGGCTCTACTATCTCATGGGGTTCAATGAGTCAGAATCAATTTGATTGCATCCAACAGCAATAACATCACTGAAGTAATCAGGTCACAACATTCTGAGGAGATGTGAAATCCACCAGATGAGTCTCAAGATTCCTCCAAGCTTCACTTAGACCTGCATCTCTTAGTTTTGACGCTCTTAAGTCTTTGTTGAGAAGTCTTTGTTGTGGGGTCTATTCTACGCATTGTTGGGTGGTAGCAGCATCCCCGACCTCTACCAGTTGATAACAGTAGCAGCCCTCTCTCCAGATACTGCCTAATGTCCCCCTTTTTGGGAAAAATAACTTCTGCCATGATTTTAGGCTAAAATAAACTCTCAGAAGAGACTATATAATTAATAGAAAAGTCAAACAAGGACTCTTCTCCCAGCACCACCCCCAGTTCTCACTGACCTCACAGCCTCCAAGCAGCACAGGCGGTAATGACTGCAAACTGATAGACATGACATGCATGCCAGTGGAGGCTGGAATACCAACGCACTATGACTTGGATCTAATGTCATCAGGGAGAAGCTGAGTGCTGAGGCTCACCTGACTATGCCTGGGGTATTCCAGCGCCAACTTCTTTTCTATATACAAGCACATAATTCTCTGTTTTGGTGAGGCCAGGGAAATATGAAGCTAACTCCCCTCTTTCTCCAGGCTAAGACTCCATTCTACTTAGCACCATGGGGAACTATACATAGGACTGATGAGGCCATTGAGGAATGTAAATAAAATAGCTCAATTTATGCAGGGCTCTCTCTGCTTCTCAGTTGTGCCAGCCGACCCTCATTTGGATAATCTATTCAGGGAGACTAGGGAGGACAGAAGGAGAGTGGATGCTTTTGAGCTGTGGTGCTGGAGAAGGGTACTGAATGTACCCTGGACTGCCAGGAAAACAAACAGATCCATCTTGGAGAGGATTAAACCAAGCTGCTCCTTGGAGGCAAGGATTCTGGGGCTTCGTCTGACATACTTTGGACATGTTGCCAGGAGGGACGGGTCCTTGGAGAGGGACATCATGCTTGGGAGGGTGGAGGGACAGCGCAGGAGGGGAAGACCCTCTATGAGATGGATTGATTCGGTGACTGGGATAATCGGGATGGGTGTGTCGGAGGCGGTGCGGTTGGCGCAGGATAGGGCAGGGTTTAGAGCTGTTGTGCATAGGGTCGCTATGAGTCGGAAACGACTCGATGGCACATAACAACAACAACAACATTCAGGGAGATGGCAGAAAGGCAAAAGAGAGATGGTTTCACGAGTGTTTACTGAAACAAAGCCTTGAGGAAGCTCACCTGCTAATATTCTCAGTCATTTACTCGTCTATCTACACTCATACACCCTGCTACACCCTCTCCAGTTTTGTCCTTTTTAAGGCAGCTAGTCTTTAAGGGTGTTAGTGATTGGGTGGGAGGGAAAACAGAATGTACAAGCCAGCCTCGTTTCAATTTCCCAACACCAAAGGCCTGCGGATGCCTTCAAATGCTTAGAGTATACCAGGGCTGCTTTTCAAACGAATCATCAATGGGATAATACTAAGTGCCTCTGTTTAGCATAAGGAAATGAATCAAAAGTTAACTCTGTTTAGCTAGTCTAGATAGCGTGAGTAAATAGCAGGTAGGGCTATCATTAAGCAAAGAGTGGGTGCTGGGCCACCTCCTTCCATCCTGTTGGCCTCAATCTCAGTGTTTAGATTGCACTGAGTGTGCTATAGGGACACTTTCTGTAAGTTCTTTGTGTGACCGGTTTGCTCAACATTCTTTTGTTGTGATTGCTGTTAGCTACCACTGAGTTGGTCTCCATCTCCAGGCACTTCTCTGAACAACGGAATGAAATGCTTCCCAGCCCTGCATAACCTCCATGATCAAGCGCCAGGGTTGTTTAATCAACATAATATTAACCTCATTTTACAAATGAGTAAATTGAGGCCCAGAGGAGTTGCAGAATCTTCTCAGCTAACAGAAAGGAGAACCGTGTCCAGCCCAAGTCTGTGTTCTTAATTACTATTTGGCTAGTAGAGGTTATAGGGAGAGAGGACTGAAGAATTATTGCTGAAGGAGTAATGGATTTCTGTTTGGGGTGATAAAAACATAGAGAAACAAATAGCGGTGATGTTTGTTGTCATTTACCGGTGAGTCAGAACTGACCCGTAGTTGACCCTCTGGCAGGTTTTCAGGAGCAGTTAATTGCACAGGAGAAGACTGCCCACTTTCTCCCGCAGAGCAGCTGGTGGATTTGAACCACGTGCCTTCGGGACTGCTGCACAGCTTCTTATGGCAGTACAATATTAATGTCACTGAACTGCACACTTACAAATGGTTAAAATGGGAATTTTTGGTTATATATCCTGTAGACTGACAATCATGATCCATAGGATTTTCACAAATATATTACAGCTCTTTCTTCCTAGTCCACCTTGCTTAGGAAACTCTGCTGCAAACCGTGCCACATCACGTTGTTGTTGTTATGTGCTGCTGAGGGACTACAACTCTTAGTGACCCCATGCACGAGAGCTCTGAAACCTGTCCTGAGCCAACCTCATAGGCTCTGACACAACCACCCTCATTACCCCAGTTACTGTGTCAATCCATCTCATCCAGGGTTTTTCCTCTCCTGTGCTGTCCCTCCACCCCTCCAAGCATCATGTCCTTCTCCAAGGACTGGTCCCTCCTGGTAACACGCCCAAAACATGAGATAGAACTTCAAACTCCTCGCCTCCATGGAGTAGCTTGGTTTCACCTTCTTCAAGACATATCTGTTAGTGCTCTTAGTGGTCTATGGTATGTTCAATATGCTTCTCCAGTACTACAACTCAAAGACATCAACTATTCTTCTGTCATCTCTGGTTACTGTCCAGGTCTCTGATGAAGACCACAGCCTGCATCAGACATACCCTAGTCTCTAGATTGACATTGTTGTTCTCTACACTACAGCAATAGACAATTTTCAACTGACAGAGTGACTACACATGAAGTTAACTGACTGAGATTTGAACTCTAATTTTCAACAAAGAAGGTTGAGAATTCCATCACTGAACAAGCACTATTCCCAGATAAGCTACTGTTACTGAGCCAACTCTGTCTCAGGGCATCCTTGTATGTGTCAGGGTAAATAGTGCTCCATAGGATATTCAATGACTGACTTCAGAAGTAAGTCATCAGGCTTTTTTTCATGATAGGTCTTTGGGTAGATTTGCATCTTATAATCTTTTGTTTAGTAGTTGAGTTTAAGCCTTTTGCACCACCCAGAGACATAGTCTAGGGAAGCCCAAAGCTACCTCTCTCCATTTACCATCAGGATAAATGGTGATTCAAGATTGTCAGCCAATTCTACCATAAACAGATACTCAGAGGAGAACTGGGGTTACTGTATGGTAGAACCTAGAACTTAAGGACATATTCTTCAATGCCCAGGAACTACTGATACACATATCACACATAAGCATTCTATCGCCCAGACAATGTAACCACCACAAAAAGAAGCTGAGGCTAATAACCGGCTTACCTTTCCTGATACTTTCTGAGGAAATGTAGAGATTCCCAGGTCGCTCTTGACTTTTTTCTGCAAAAACTATGAGACGAAGAAGATTCTAAGTAAAATACTAGGCAAATCTCTTCCTAAAAAGGCTTTACAAACTTTGTGTGTTAAAATAAATAACGCCAAAATCAAGTCATAATTATGGATCCACACATAGGACCGCTGTGTGAAGTTATGAAAATGAAAACTCTGAAAAGACGTTAACTAATGAAGAGTCACAGAAATCCGAGATTGTGAGGATGTTGCAGGCCAGGCTCAGATCTGTTGTTCACAGGATCACTATTTGCTGTGGTCCACTCAACAGCACCTGACAACAACAAAGATACAACAGAGAACTCTCCAACCTAGACGTCAAGGCCAGTATAGAACACGACTGGCCATTTAAAAGATCATTAAAGAAAGGATAAAGTGAACAAGGATACAAGCCTAAAACCTGTGAAGAGCTGAACACCTTGAAGATTGAGAATAAAAGGAAGAGCCACTTAACATATTAACAATCTATGATATAAAATGAGCTGCGGAACAGGTAAAATGTATGCACGGCTCCAAAGTATACAGATGTCATGACTCATGAGTGTCAAAGTTCCCTTAGTGCTCGGATGACACAGTGATTAAAGACTTTCTAGGCTCTGAATGAAACGTACTGGAATTCAAATCTCGGCTCTGCCATTAGAGGGAGGAGGAAATGGTTAAATGTCTCTGAAGCTATGTGTGAATGCCTCTGGAAAGTCTAGAACTAAAGCTGATCTGTAATAGTCCATCTCAAGAATATGCCCTGTACCGTTACGAAGGTCCTGGGGCAGGTTATAAGCCATATGGGTCCATTCAGTTCTTGAGTAGTGAATCATAAAGCTAAAAAAATGCAAGAAATTTCTGCTAAGGTGCTCTGAAGACCCCACTGGGCATCACCCCTGGGCATACTTGCCTTTAGAAATGTACGGCTCACTGTCAGGCCGCTGGTGAGCACCAGGGGGACTAGCCTCTGGCCTGGGCACTGGAACAGGAGGTCTGTTGGCCACATCCACAGAAAAGGAGTCATCATCAACTACCGTGTGATAAACGTCTTCATTCTCACCAAGATGGCACAGCTCCCTTTGCAAACCAGCCATTCCTACAGTGTTGCCTAGGGGAGTCGGAGGAAAACAAGCAAAAGCAGTCGTCAAAAGAACCAAATGGTTTCTATTTTGCCCTAAGAGCAGAGAAAGTGACTATTCCTTATCCAAAGAGCATTTCATTCAGCAAAGGGTTCTCAACTCCATCATCTCCTGCATAAGCACATCAGAACCCCATGAGGCAACTGAGAAAATGCACTGATAGCACATTTATTTGCAATCTGTCCTTGCAGCAAAGAGAGCACGAGGCTCAGCAATCTTGGTGGGTTTTTTTTCTGCTGGGATTCGGTTATTCCTCTTCAAGGAACTAAGGATAAAGACAGTAGAGCCCAAAGGTCTAAGGACTCTCTGGGCCATCCCCTGGTACATGGGCAGCAAGGTGACAGCATCCTGGATTTCCGACCACCAATTTTGTTCCTCATCAAAATGACAACTGCAACTAGTTTCAGAGAACTTTCCTTTATGCCAAGTACTATTCCAACTATATTATCCACACCATCTCCACTGTTGTTATAACTGTGCTGTGGAGGAAGTATTGTCATCAATCTCACGTTGAGGATGGAGAAACTGGGGTCTTCAGGGTTAAAACAACCTGCGTAGGTTATTTTTTATTATTTAGACACTAGTACCCCACACAAATAGCTTTCTAAGTGGCTGCTGATCTAGTGATGAATTAGAGATGATGGATGGCTGCCTGCCATGCAGTCCCTTCAGGAAGAAGGCTGGGACGGAGCGGGACTACTTTTTCCAGAGGGTGACAGGGTCATCTAATGCTTAAAGCACAGATGCTGATTACGGGTTAGAAAATCTTGGGTAAATCTCTTTACCCCTCTATACCGGTGTCCAGGACTTCTCTCTCAGGGAAATGCTTTATGTTTTTAAAGTCAGGTTTTTAAAACATTTCTCTTTTTTTCAAGGCCTAGATAGTAAATAAGAGAGCTGTGGTGGTGTGATTATGTGTTGCACTGCTAATCAAAAGGGTGGCAGTTCGATTCCATCAGACACTCTTTCCAAGAAAGATGGGTAGTCTTCTCCCAAAAATAAGATTTATAGTCTAAGAAACCCAGTGGAACGTTGCAATGTGTTAGAATCACTTTGACAGCTATGCATGAGTTTGGTTTTAGATAGTAAATATTTTAGGATTTGTGAGTCAGACAGTCTCTGTGACAATTACTTGACCTGGCCGTTGTAGTATGAGGTCACTCATTCACTTATTCACTGCTATTGAGGTTTTTCTGACTCATGGCAACTCTCCATTGGCTGCAAATCTTCATGAGAGGAGATGGCCTACCTTACTCCCATGGAGAATTCAAACCACTGGAGATACATATTGTCAGGGTTAGCAGTGCAACTCGCTATGGACGCCACCACTGGAGTAGCCATAAATCATGGGTAAATGAGTAGGTGTGACAATGTTCAAATAAAGTTTATTCACAAAAAAAAAATTTATGTAGTTTGCCTACAGCTGCTCTTAAGTTGCTCCTCTGACAAAGAAGAAAGCTCTGGTAGCTTAGTTAGTAGAGAATTATTCTGTTGATCCAAAGGCAGTACCTCTACTAGTTCAAATCCACCAGGGGCTCCAAAAAAGAAAAATCGGCAGTTTCCTCCCCTGTGACTTACAGCTTGGGAAACCCAATGAAGAGCCAGCTATGATTTGGTCCCGATTCCACAGCAAGAGTCTAAACACCACAATTACTTGTTCCAACCTCAGTCCCATCTTCTAAGCACCCAGGTTTCTAGATCCACTCTGTTAGCAGACTCCACCATAAGTTGTAAATGGCTGGAGAAGGTTAAGAAATTACCTGTGTAATTAAATACTCAGCATCTTTGAAATCCTCGGTAGCATCTTTATTAACTTCTAATTTATGTGCCTGGCCTTGTTCTTGGGCTTAACGTGCCATAACTTACGCATGTAATCTTCATAATGTTAACCTCATTTTACAGATGAGTAAATTGAGGCCCAGAGGAATTGCATAACTTTCTCAGCTAATAGAAGGGAGAGCTGAGTACAGCCCCAAGTCCATGCTCTTAACCACTATTTGGCTACTAAAGGTTACAGGGTGAGAGAAATTAATTATTGCTGAAGTGATACTGACTTTCAGTTTAAGGTGACCAAAGACTTTTAGAAACAAATTGGTGGTGGTAGCACAGTATTAATGTCATTGGATTATATACTTACAAATGATTAAAACGGCCAATTTTAGTTATTTATACTTTATAGCAAAAAAAATTTTAAAAAATAAAATAAACCATGTTGGATTTTAATGAGGTTCTGTGGGAAGAAACTCACTTACCTAAATGAGAGACTGCATGGTGGAACTTCCAGCCCATACAGAACAGATGGATGAGAGAGGCACATGGGGGCAGAGCACCTCCAATCACACTGTACGTCACCCATGTGACAGTCCATTCCTTGAGTAGAGCAACTCTCCTCGGGAACGTCCTGTGTTCACTTCTCTCTCTCTTTGCTCCCTTCCTCACACCTACTACTTACCTTCTAAGAACTTGCGGATCATAGAGTCCTTGGTGGCCCGAGAGAAACTGTCTCCAGAGATTGAGCTAGATGTACTGGCCTGAAGCATTTCAACATCTGGAAGGAAATGAAGGCTAAGAATTGGTATCTTGTCCTCCCACACGGGCAACTTGTTAAGAGACAATATATATAATTCAGCAATTTTCTTCAAAGAAATCCAAGCATGTGTCCATTCACCTAATGACACCTACAAAAGGTGCAGCACAAAGGGGAATAAAATCCACAACTGACGGGCCTCATAACCTCAGTCCACTCATCAAGAAACTCAGACAGACTCACCCTGAGAGACATTCTACGATGTAACTGACTAGTACTCTTCAAAAATATCTGTAGTTTAGTCTGTATATTATGGTGTTATTGTTGTTCCATCGAGTTGACTATGACTCACAGCAACTCTATGAACAATGGCTATGAGCACTGTCCTGTTCAGAGCCAACCTCACCATCTGACACACCTGACCCCACTGCCACAGACCCTATGTCAGTCCATCTTTACCCAGGGTCTCCCACCCCTGTGCTGACCCTCTACCCTTGTGGGCATGAATTTCCTTTTCCAAGGACGGGTCGTTCCTGATGACATGCTCAAAGTATGCAAGTTGGAGCTTCAAAATTCTTGCCTCCAAGGAATAACCTGGCTTCATTCTCTCCAGAGTAGATCTGTGTGTTCTCTTGGCAGTCCATGGAATGTTCAATACTCTTCTCCAGCACAACTCAAAGGCATCAATTCTTCTTCTGTCATCTTTAGTCACTGTCTAGCTCTCAGATGCAAAGCAAGCAACTGAGAAAACTATGAACTGTACCAATGCTTATTTTATCAATTTGATAGCTTTTAAATGCATATGTAAGAGAGTAATAGTTGATTATGCTAAACAGAGGAGCCTAGGTGAAAGGTATATAGGGCCTCTGGAATTTTTGCTACTTACTTTTACCTACTTCTAAAGTAATTCTCCATAACAGAGTACAATCCTGTTTGCAGAAAGTGAGGACAAAGCACTTACTGAAGATCAGAGGCTAAGCTTTCAATATGGATTACAATTCAGTATCAAGAAAACAAAAACTCACCACTGGACATACAGGTACCACCATAATAGAAAGAGAAAGGACTGATGTTGCCAAGGATTTAATTTTTCTTAGAACTTTAATCAACATACTTAACAGCAGCAATCAGGAAACCAAACTATGTATTGTATTGGACAAACCTGCTTTTAAAGACCACTTTAAAGCGCCATTGAGAAAAGATGTCAGTTTAAAGACTAAGGTGTGCCTGACCCAAGCCATGGCATTTTCAATCACTTCATAGGCATGTGGAACTGAATAAGGAAGTCTGAAGAAGAAATGATGCCTCTGCATTGTGGTACCGGCACAGAGTATTGAATACACCATGGATTTCCAAAAGAACAAACAACTCTGTCTTGGAGGAGGTGCAACCAGAGTGATCCCCAGGGGCAAGGCTGGTGAAACCTTATTTTGCATACTTTGAGGACACGATCAGGAGACATCAGTCCTTGGTAAAAGATATCAGGCTCGGAAAAGTAGAAGATTGGTGAAAAGAGAAGATCCTCAATAAAATGGAATGGCACAGTGATTGTAGCAATGGACTTGAGCATGGTGGAAATGATAAGGACAGTGTAAGATAGAGCAAGGTTTAGACCTACTGTTCATAGGATCACATTGGGTTGGAGTCATCTCAATGGGCTTCTAACAACTATGAAATTGGTTCTAAATGGAAAATTCTGTTAAAAAAGAAAGGAAAAAATGAAACTATAAAACTAATTATAGCCATAGGGATTATCTAAGCTGGTCCTCTTTCTATATTATCAAAGCAAGCCCTTTACAAGAGTCACCTGATTCATAAGTCCAATGTATGAGATCCCTGTCACATATCTGTAGTTCATGTAAAGCTCATCCTGGTTCCAAATGCCTTTTACCAATCAGGGGTAATTTTCATCATATGCAATATGATGAAACACAGCTTGCAAACTTGACCCTAGGTTGACTTCTTGGTTCTGGAAATCTGATAAGGAAGTCAAGTGAAGGTCAAATTCTCATACACAAAGAGAAATGGTGGCTGTTATTTTAACCGTGTGCCCACAATTGCTTTGAGTTAAGCTCCTTGGGTACTTTCAATGTCTCTTCTTCTTACTGGAGAAGTGGTAGTGTAGTATTTATCTCCTAAGTTTGTCATGAAGATGAAATGGTAAGCTTGCAAAGTACTTAGCACAGTACCTTAGCACATAAAATCAACTGCTATTGCATCAACCTCAGTCCATGAAAGACTATATGCTGTTACCTTTCTGAACATCACCAGGTTTTCTTCCTAAGCACTTCTGGAGGGATCCAAACTGTCAATCTTTTGGTTAAGAGCCAAGTACTTAACTGTTTATACCACCCAAGGACTCCTAGATACATCCAAAATTCCAACCCATTGTCATTAAATCCATTCGGACTCATAGCAACTTTGTAGGACAGATTCGAGCTTCCCCAGGGGTTTTCCAAGGCCATAATCTCTACAGAAGCAGACTACCATGTTTTTCTCCTGCAGAGCAGCTGGTAAATCCAAACTTCTGATACTGCAGTCAGCAAATGAACACTTAAAACTACTGTACCACCAGTGCTCATACACGCATGGATAAACCAAAGCAAATCAAAGCTCACACTCCTGAAAACTCTGATTCGTGGTGAATCTCCACCAGGTTTTCAAAGCTGTAAATCTTACAGGAGAAGAACAATTAGTAGAAATCAGAATCCCCGGTTAACACATTACATCACACATCAGGCCACCAGGGTTCCTTTCTGTGTAAACAGTACCTAAATAAATCAGCTGCTATTATTATTGTTAGGTTGTTGTTATCTCTATTGTTAGGTATCCTTGAGGGGAGTACGACTCATAGCGACCCTATGAACAACACATCTGAACCCTGTACAGTCCTGTGCCAGCCTCACCGACTGTGATACACTTGAGCCCAATCCCACAGTCGCCGTATCAATCCATCTTGATGGGAGTCTTCATCATTTTTTGATGACTCTCCACCCTTACAAGCATGATATACCTTCCCAAGGAATAGCCTCTTCTAGCAACATGTTCAAAGTATGAGAGATGAAATGTTATTGTCTTTGCCTCCAAGGAGCACTCCAGTTATTAAACGCAACATAAAGAATTCTGGTGGCACAATGGTTAAGCGCTGGGTGCTAATCAAAGGTTCTGTGCTTTGAACCCACTTCCACTGAAGAAAAGACCTGGTGCTCTGTTCTCATAAAGACTACAGCCTAGAAAATGCTATGAGTCAGTTCTGCTCTGTCTTTATAGGTGAGTTAGAACTGACTCACAGCATACCTAGGCTAATGGCCTAGGCAAAGAACAATTAAAAAAACAGAACTCAATTTACAGGGGTTTTTTTTCAATTTACAGTTTTTAACAGTAATTTTATTCATCTGAACTCAAGTCTTCTACATCTGAAGTAATGAAGGCTTTTGTGGATTAACACTAGTATGGTGTCAAGGGATTACTGTTCAAAATGGCTTTCCTAGCCATCAGCTTTGACTTTCACCACATGAATGGAAAGGGACTTAAATCAGGGTGTTTATAAAGTAATCATTATAGGATTGGTCACTTTTGCCCATCCACCAGATGTTAAATAGAGTGGTCTTGGCAGCACAAGTAGGGAGTCTGACTACAAGGAAAAGGAAGCAGAGTGTAGCACTCATTGTTTGGGGCCAGAGACCCCTGTGCCAGCCAGACTGGGATCTACTGCAGTAGCCTGAACAGAAAACCAGAGACCAATGTAAGACAGAGATGGCTTGAGATCGCCCATGAAGTAGATAGCTGCCCATGGAGCCAGAGCCAGGGGCCTTCACTCAAGCTTGTTGGAGAACTGAGGGAAGATCTCATAACTGGTAGGACTAAGAGAATTTTCTAATACCGACCTAAGCCATGGAATTGAAGGTAAAAGTGCATTGTGATCCCTGTGATGTCCAGCATTGGGCTCCGATCACTCTGAGGACACAGTGACCCCTAGGATATTTGACACTTGAGGTTCTGAGGGGCCTGGGTGGGGGAGAGGGGGAAGTGCATTACAAGAATTCTTGAGAAGCTGGAGGAATTGTATCCTGTTGCCAACCTGATTTATAACCCATTAACTTCTCAAAGAAAGTCCATAAACATGAGCAAGATGCCGTGAGATCAGTATGATAATTACAATGGATTTTGGACCCAATGCAGCAGTAATATCGGTCTTGGGTTTAGGAGAACTAAGTTAGGGAAGCTAAAGGACATACTTGACCTTATGGGAACTGGTTTTGTACAAGAGGATGTTGTTGATAAGGACTGTTTCCCTTTGTGGAGTTAGTAGAGGTCAGATACTGTCATCCTTACGCTGTTTGCACTCTTTTTTACAATTGTATTTAAATTTCCACACATTCTGAAATTTCATACATATTACATTTCAAGGACTTAGCCCAGTCAACATTTTTACATCTGAATATAATTCTCACCACTGGACTGATAAGCAATATATCAAGATAGATGGAAAGAAGACTGAGACTTTCAATGACATCATCTTCCACAATCAATAATACACTTGGTAACAGCACAGGAGATCAGGAGACATATTGTTTGGGAAAGTCTGCAGTTAGGGACCTCTCCAAATTACTGAGGAGCAACAATGTCAGTTTAGGGACTAAAGTGTGTCTGATTCAGGTTGTAGTCTTTTCAATCATTTGCTATGCATCTGAGAACTGAACAATGAATAAGGATGAAAGAAGAACCGATCCTTTTAAGCTGTGGTGTTGTAAAAGAGTACTGAATATCCCAGGGACTTCCAGAAGAACAGTTATGTCTTCGAGAAAGTACAGCTTGATGGAGGCAAAGATGATAAAGCTTCGTCCTATATATTTTGGGCATAGATGACTGCGGTTTGGCATATTACAACACTAAATACCTAAAAGGAGCTGCTATTATTTTTGTAACAGTAAATAAAATAAAAGTGCCTCTATTATGTGAAGTTAATATATGATGAAACTCTCTTGGGCTTTGAGTTTAATCCTAGTGTAATGACAAAC